TGCCATGTAGCTAGAGGAGCGCCATTGCCATAGGCCGTGCCGAGACCTGTATCAAACGTCCCTTCCTGCAAGACGGGCTGACACGAGCCGCAGGAAGCGGCTTGCACCATCGCTGCCCAGGCAGGGCTTATTTAGAGACTAATCAGCAGTTTGTACAGCTATGATGCTTCTGATTTCAAAACACTGAAGTCAATCACATCACACTTTAAACAAGAAGGACATGAGACAGAGCTATAACATGCAGAAGAAATGCCTAACCCCCATACTGGAGAGAAGGCAAAGACAGGAGCAGGAACAGCTTAGGCACTGCGATCCAGAGGAATCACAATTTTAGAACTACACCTAACACCGTACAAAGGCCATACAGCAGCATGCCGGGGAATATTCGGACCTGCTGAGTGCAGAGACCAGCTTTTTCTCAGCGTGCCAAACTTTGACGCGCTGCAGCGAGAGCTGGGCAGGCACCAGGCAGCATCTCGCCCGGCGCGCTGCCCGGGGACGTTAATGTGTGCAGTGCTGCAGAGCCCTCCGGACCGAGACACTGCAGCCAGTTCGTAAGCATTTTGTGGAAAGAAAGGGCATTTGAACTATAAATTAATAAATACAATATTTGCACTGGATTAGGGTGAACTTCTCGACCCTATTCACGTTAATCCTCACAAGACATCTACATCCCTACTGTTTGCTCCATTTTATTTGTAGAGAATAATAGCTTTCATATGACAAAGTGAGAGAGATGAGCTAATAAAATTACCAAGAAATGACATCCACGGAGCGTTGACCCAAGCAGTTATTTATTAACCGTGCTAGTAGACCTAAAAATAGTATTGATTGCATGCAATACCATCTATTCCAGCAATTAGTACAATAAATATAACTACTCAAACTAATAACAGCACATTCACCTAAACAACAGCAGATAGCAGGCTAATCCACTGTGTTTGAAAGCACCTTGTGAAACCTCTTATTTTTTTATTTTGCCCAGCCAAGAACCTGCGCATAGTGAGAGAGCCATTGTCAAGAGCAGAAACAGATGCAATCATTTAGAACTTATTAAGTGTAATATCAATGAAATAGCCCTTTCAAGGGATCTCAGCTGGCTTTTTCTGTTCAGCCATAAAAATATTGAAACAAAATGTCCCTATCCTCCTCTCTACTTACCTGTGGTTCTCATTTTTGAGAAGAATAGGGAATGACATTTCTATCTTCACTCCAAGGCAGGTGAATATTAAGGCAGAGAATATAATTCTACACCACTTCAATAAATCACAATACATCATGAATTCTGCAATAATTCTATAATTCTAGAAAAAGCTTTGCACAGGAAATAGAATTTATACATCACATTTCCACAATGATTTCTTGATAACTTTTCTCTAATATCTTTGGTTGCAAACAGGTCTGACAAAACCATCAGGTTCACAGATGTGTCGTTAACGCTGGGGGAATCGCCCCATCTCCCTAGTCCATAAATTGCTCAAACGTTGCTGAGATCTCGAAGGATCCATTTAGGTCTCCTTTAAAAACATGAACCAGTCTCTTTACGTACCACTCGTTTAATCCCGAACAAGCACACAGGCAAGCAGAAGAGAAAGAGGTTTGGGTCCGGGTCTGGCAGGAGCTGAGCAGTTCAGCTCCATCGGCTTCCCAGAGGTCGGTGTTTCCCTCAGGTGGGATCTGGGTGGGCCGCGAGGACCAGGACTCATCCCACCACTTCCTACCAGTTTAAGATTAACTCCCGTGTGTCATCTGCAACTTAAACTTCAGCAAAAGGACAAAAATACACTGGGGCCGTTGAAGAGAGGGGTGATTTAAATCACCCGCTAGAGACGGACACAGGCTGGAGCTGCTTCCCCCCACTCCCCCCCCGGCTCTCGGTCCTGACAGACCTTCCCCC